AAAGTGTGGAGACCAACATACAATTTTCGAAATTGCATTTGGAATATTTAAGGGACCATTACGCAATTTTCTCAAAATTGAATTTGGAATTATTTACTTCCATGGCAACAGTTCAGATTTCTGCCATTTTTCTTTTCGCGGGTTATCGTTCATCATCAAAGAAAAAATGCAGTTTTTTATTTATTTATTTCAGATTCCTGTAAAAACTTCAGAATGCCATAACTTTTTCAATTCAATGCCAAAAATTATGGTCTTTATAATGTTGGAAAGGCATTGAGAAGATCTATCAATCCATATCAAATGGGAATCATGAAACACAGTGTGGAAGAAGTTATCATGTGATTAAGTTTCGAATTTTACCAATTTTAATGCAAAAAATCAGATTTTCATCCAAAATTTCGAAATCTCATAACTTCTTCATTTTGAGTCCAAAATTTGAGTTCTTTATATGATTGAAAAGCTTATGAAAAGACCTTTCTAACCATACTAATCTTACTGCATAAAGATGAATGAGAAAATGGCAGTAAATATTTAAAGTTTCTGCAATTTTATTTAGGATTTCGATTTTCTCCAAATTTATAAAATCAAAAATTTCCAAAGTTTGCATATGCGTTTCACATCATATAAGGAATATGCTGTAAAAAATTCGTGAATTTATGTTGCATATTTCATGACATGCCATTAACAATGATTCAAGCTTCAAAAAAAAAAAATGGCATACATGCATTTTTCAACATATTAATTCCATTTACAGCAAGATAATATACACAGGAAACAACTTTTATGGCTCTGATACCAATGTAAGAATATGCAGCATTCTTTAACATGAATCAGGTCAAGAAACTTACTTGAAATGATGAATTTCAAGATCTTTTCATGGTTGAATCACCTTATATTTCAAAGCTCCAAAATATAAATTTCCTTACTTTCCAATGGTCCCAATCCTGATCACAGTGGAAGGAAATTATTATTCACAATCTAAGTGTCAAATTTTATAAGATTTCATGCCAAAAATATGGTTTTAAGGACTTTTCAATTTAGGTGTAAAATTCCATACGAAGTTTTACTCCATGTTTCATGTCCTCTTCTTCCCTCTATTTTCCAAAATATTGAATGGAAGTTGTATGGGAGTTGATGGTGGTTGTAGGGAGTTACATATTTGAACTTCAAATTCAAACAATTCCCTCTAACCCTTTTAATAACTTGTGGGTCGGGTCATCTCACATGGGCGACCCATGACCCGTATTTTCTAACTTACACAATCATAGTACTCAATAGAAATCATACATCAATCCCTGTGAGTTCGACAATCTTCAGTTCATCATTATATTACAAAACTTGACACTGTACACTTGCGGCATAAATTTACGTGTAGAAAATACGTGACAATTGGCCTTCTCTAGAGGTGAAAGAGGCTAACACGTGCACTCTAACGATCAAGTTAGTCAATTGTATGAATGTACTTGGGTGTGAGATATGTTTAAGGCATGAGCTATAAAAGTGTACAGATACCGAGGGTTAGGGTCAAACCGATTTAGAGGGTAAAATGAGAGAGCAATGTTAATTTAAGTGTGTAAATTTGCATTACCTTCAATTGACACTAAATGTGAGTTTTTATAGTGGAAGAGGAGAAATGATAACTGTTAGATGAAGAGACACATGACATCATTTGAACAGTCCTTGTGTCTTGCCCTAGGCATCCATCAGTCCTAGGCTCAGGGGTATTTAATATTTCTAAAAATTAGTCACTCAATGACTTAGGCTTGGCATATGAGTAGACTAACCAGTTTGACCTAGTAGAGTGACTATTACAGAGATGTCACATCAATCAATCATAAAAGATTTTTTATGGAAAGTCTTATAAGGATATGCCTAATATGCCTAGAGGCTATTTTAACTCAAATTAGGGTTGCAGCGCATCATATCAACTCTCTTGGTCGATAAGGGTTCGCCCTTAGCACGAGGGTTCTGTAGAATACATTACTTCGACTAATGAAGAGCCTCGAGTTGGCCATGTAAGAAAGTGACATGGAATATCTCGTGACTGTCACGTGATCATGCTTATAGCCTCGTTGAATGAGGCGTAACGTGTATTATAATAGGTTTCTCGTGCTAGAAATTATAATGTCGTGTTATTTAACATTAATTTATCCTTAGTAACTTGGGGAGGCACGGAGGATCTACTTCTCTTTCTTCGCAAAAAGAATGGATCAAGGTAAGAATAGGGATGGCAACGTGGCGGGGCAACCTCCCCTGCTCCGCCAAGCAATTCCCCTTCTCGTTACCCGTTTAAGGCGGGGCAGGACGGCGGGACGGGGCTAGGCCCTTGCCCCGTTTACTATCCCGTTTAATTTTTTTTAAAGTTTTTAATAATTAATTTTATTGTCCCCATTCATGAGATTGAGACAATAATATATTTTTTAATATTTACTTATATTTTAAAGATAAATTATTCAAATATATTTAGTAAACTAAAACTTTTATTGTTTGTCATATTTTTTAGATCATTTTTGTTGTCATTTTCTATTAGAACTAATGAAATTTCGTAAAATTTTTCATTTAGGGTATGAATTCTTAAAAAAAATAAAATTAAAAGGGCAAAATTCTCCGCCCCATTCGAGGATAGACCCGTGAGTAACGAGTTCGTTAGATTCTTTTGCCATCCTTATGTGAGAATCATATTAGGAGATTCTAGGCTTTGTATTGAAAAAGTCTCACCAACCATGGTCTAAACATGCCTCTTTTGGTTGCTTTATAGTGTTGTGGTTGTTAGATAGTTTTTTCTTGAAGTTTGTACTTGAAAATGCAGAGCTAATATTCTCAAATGACGATGCCAATA